CTGTGAATTTCAATATTTCATTGCTTTTTTCTGCTGAGTAGTACTTCATTGTATAAATGTTTGCATGTTTTTTATGAAAAGAAATTTGGTGTTGTAACGAAGCTAGAATTTTTGAATCCCAGAATCAAATGACCTCAGACCATCTTAGTTTCCTTTATAGTGATTTTCCCAAGTCTGTATATGACCTATTTTCTTTGTGAATATTAGGTAATCTTTTTGAATAAATAAATAGATGCCTGTCTTCTACCAACCAAAATGCTAAAAGTGTCAGAAAACATCTGAGACCTTTACATGAGATTTCATAATCACCTTACCTAAGGCTTCTATTGATAAATTTGACAAATGCCTTTGTGTTTAATTTTTGAAATTGTTTCCATGGTGAAACAAGGTGTTGGGGAAAACATTTTTCTGGTTTCTCAGCCATTGTGCCTCCTATTGACTCCAGAAGAAACTATTTGTTTTTATTCCTATGAGAGAGAGATATTTCTTAGACACAGAAGATGAACTATTTCAGAAGAGAAACATGACTGGGAATCAGAATGAAGAGGAACCAATGCAGAAAAGGAAGAGTGAGTATAATGTCAAAGTCATGATAGACTTGAATAAAAACGGCACTATAAAATCTATTCAATTGTGTAATGAATGGACACTAGTAATTTTTTCATAAAATATCAAAACATTTTTGAAAATTCATGTGATGTTGAGAGAAAGGAGAGAAGCTAAGAAACAAAATGTAATGAAGTTTCAATAAAAAAAGATTTCTTGCTTCAGGTTCCCTGCTGGAGCCACCTGAGGTCAGGGGACTGTGCACTGGGGAACACATCCCAGTGGATCAGCCCACCCAGAGTCTGCCAGCATCCTATTCCACCCTTTGCCCATGGGAGGAGATAAGCCTGGGCCAGTTTTTGGCCTGCCTTCTGGTGCTGTGCTCAGAGCCTCCTAAGGCTTGGGGCCTGCACATGGGGAATTCATCCTGGTGGAATAGCCCATCCAGGATACCTCTTCCTCCCACCAGAAGAGGAGAGCCATCAGATTTTGGACCTGTTTGCACCTTTTGGAAGAGAACCTTAGACATGTACCCACCAGGAGAGGAAGGCACTCCACTTGCATCCACTGAAAGTGGAATGGGAAGAAGACAATATAAAAACACATTCAGCAACAAAAAACCAATATAACACCACCAGAGTCTAGAGACTCTACACAAGCAAGACCTGAACATTCCAGTGTAGATGAAGCAGAAGGGAAAACAACTTCATGAAAATGACAGAGGCCCTCAAAGAGGACATGAGAAAATCCCTTAAAGAAATGGAAAAAAAACAAACCAAAAATTCAAGATACCAACAAATCTGTTAAAGAAAGCCAAGAAAAAACAATCAAACAGATGGAGGAAACAATTCAAAAAGTTCAAGACCTAAAAGCTGAAATAGAGACAATAAAGAAAACACAATTGAGGGAATGTTTGAAATAGAAAAGCTGGGTAAATGATCAGGAACTAAAGACATGGGAGAGAAAATCTCAGGCATTGAAGATACACTAGAAGAAATAGAGTCATTGACTAAAGAAAATCTTGTGTCCAACAAATCCCTAATACAAAATATTCAGAAAATAGAAACCACTGTGAAAAGGACAAACCTAAGAATAATAGGTATAGAAGAACGTAAAGAAACCCAACTCAAAGGTGCAGAAAACATATTCAACAAAATCATAGAAGAAAACCTTCCCAACCTAAAGAAAGACATGCGAATGAAAGTACAAGAAGCCTAGAAATACCAAATAGAATGGGCAACAAAAGTTCCCTCCCCACATAATAATCAAAATCCCAAATATATGGAATAAAGAAAGAAAAAAAGGAGAAGCTAAGGAAAAAAGTCAAGTAACATATAAAAGAAAAAAGCAATGGAATCTTGAAATTCGCAGGCAAATGGATGGGACTAGAAGAAACCATCCAGAGTGAGGTAACCCAGTCACAAAAGACAAAAATGGTATGTACTCTCTCATATATGGATTTTAGATCCAGAGCAAAGAAGTAGCAGCCTACAATCCACACCACCAGATAAACTAGGAAACAGAGAGCACCCTAAGTGAGACATACATGGTCCCCTGGAGAAGGGAAAAGGTACAAGATCTGCTAAGCTAATTGGGAACATGGGAAGAGGGGAGAGGGAGTTAGAAGAAAGAGAAGGGGAGAAGAAGAGAGGAGGGCAGAGGAGGACATGAGGGAGCAGGAAGACTTAGTCAGGGGAATAATAGAGGAGAGCAAGAAAAGAGATACCATAATAGAGGGAGCCATTATAGGTTTAAAGAGAATTCTGACACTAGGGAAATGTCCAGTGTTCTACAAGGTTGACCCCAATTAACAATCTAAGCAATAGTATGGAGGCTACTTTCAATGCCCTTCTCCAATAATGAGATTGATGACTACCTTATATGCCATCTTGAAGCATTCATCCAATAGCTGATAGAAGCAGAAGGAGACACCCACAGCTAAACACTGAGTTGAACTCTGAAATCCAGTTTCAGAGAGGGAGGAGTCCCAGGATCACAGGGGTCAAGACCAGGTTGGAGACACCCACAGAAACATCTGACCTGAACAAGGGGTTGCTGATGGACCCCAGACTGACAGCTTGAGAACCAGCATATGGCTTTTCCAGACCTGAATGAGAAAATTAGTTTGGAGGTCTGAACAATCTAGGGGACCACTAGTAGTGGATCATCATTTACCCCTAGTGCACAAATTGACTTTGGGAGCACTCTCCACATAGAGGGCTACTCTCTCAGCCTAGACACACTGGGAAGGGCGTAGGCCCTGCTCCAAATGATATGACAGAATTTGAAGATCCCCATGGAAGGCCTCACCCTCCCTGGTTAGTAGAAAGGGGTTGGGATAATGGGTCTGTTGGGGGCAGGGAAGGAGAGGAGGGAGTGGGAACTGAGATTGACATGTAAAAGAAGCTTGTTTCTAATTTAAATTTGTAAAAGAAAAAGAAAATGCAAGAAGCTTACAAAACACCTAATAGAGTGAATCACAATAAAAGTCCCCTCCCTACATAATAATTAAAACCCCAAGCATACAGAATAAAGAAAGAATATTAAGAGCAGCAAATGAAAAAGGTCAAGTAACATATAAAGGCAAACCAATCAGAATTATACCTGACTTCTCCACGGAAACTATATAAGACAGAAGGTCCTGCATAGATATTCTAAAAGCACTAACAGACCGCCAATGGCAGCCAGGACTACTATACCCAGCAAAGCTTTAAATCACTATAGATGGAGAAAACAAGATATTCCACAATAAAACCAGATTTAAAGGGGAGGAGGGGAAGGAGAGGGAACTGGGATTGACATGTAAAACAAGCTGGTTTCTAATTTGAATAAAATGATAAAATGAAAAAGAATGATTTCTCAAGAATCAATTCATCTTTGATTGAGTAATGTGATTAGTTATTATACATGTATTACCATCAACTCTATTGTTAAAAAGCAAAGCAAAATGCAGACAAATTTAGTTCAGAGGCCCTTCTCTCTTTCAGTGTTCTTGGTTCTTATATTCTGTAAAAGGAATAGTTCGTCCAAAGCATCATCCCGACTTACAAATGTGCCAGACCTAGTAGCACCGCAGGCATGAAAAATATCTACTGAGACTGTATTCTTTGGGAATTTAGAGCAATATGATTTGGGTAACAAATTATTGCTTACTTTGTTGTAGATAATGAAGATAACCATGATTTTGGGTTATTGGAATTTATCTTAGCTCCCTTTGTAGTTATTTTTGTAATTGTTGAGTAAGATTACAAAACATGAGTGAACTTTTCTGACTTCTATGTTAAAACAATGATGACATAATTATTAACTAGATTCATGACTGTTAGTGATTATCATCAATATAGTAACATAGTTCACAGTTAAGCAATTATGATGTATATAGTTGAAATGCATGCCTTTATGCAGGGAAGTTGTAAGTTGCAATAAATATGGGTTAAGTTATAAATGCCCTCTTTGCCTCAGGCATTTTAACACTTGGTACCCACTTGTTGATGCTCTTTGTGGGGTGGTTAGGTTATATCAATTATTGTTACAGACTATAGACTATTGTGCTTATTCAGTTTAACATCTGCACTGGGACTAGGAGAATTCAAATACCTTTCTTTAAGAATCTGTGTTAAAGCTAGGGGAGTAAGTATGCCACTTAGATAGTCACCTTGATTTCTAAATTCTTCTGGTCATGAACTGTGAGACACTGTCCCATCACCTTTAGAAAAAAAATCTTTCATGATTGGAATACACAACACTGATAAATGAAGACCTTTCTTTAGCTAAAAGTTAAACATCAACTTATGATTCAAGGTGTGTTAGTCATAGATATATTTTGTTATCTTCGTTTTACAAATCTCCAAATAGTGAAATAAAGATCTATAAGGCTTACATTGTTGAACCAAATATGTCCCAATGTTTAATATAACAAAAAATATTTAAAATCATCATGACCATGGTGCAGTACAAATGTATTTCTAGCCATTGGGACAATGTAGTAGAAGAAATGCCACTTTGTGGTCAATCTAAGCTATATAGTAACACTTTGTTTAAAAAGAAATATATTTCATGGAATATACAAATGCTTCATAAGTCATAATCTCCTCCCTGGTAACTAATTGAGAATATAAATGTTGAGTAGTTTTCTTAAATCTCAAATTTAATCCATTGCTTCTCATGAGGAGTTTCACATTATAAATTCATTTGTTCATTTTTATTAGCACTATTTGGAAAATAATCAGTACCATTAAACTAGAAATTCAAATGGGTACCCTGTAAAAGAAGGACAAGTGTAAAGACCATCTTATTTTTATTTCAATCAAAAGGGCAAAGTTTACTTGATAGAGAGAGATTAAAGGTTATCTGGTTAGTCAATCAGGTTTCAAGAGTAACTTGTTGATCCTGAAAATAGTGTTATAAAAGCCCCATGCTGGCTGATCACAGCTGTGTCAGTGAGAGGGGTCTCCATGGATCCAGCTGTCGTGTTGGTGTTTATTCTCTCCTGTCTAGTTCTCCTCTCACTCTGGAGACAGAGATCTGAGAGAGGGAAGCTCCCTCCTGGCCCCACTCCTCTCCCACTTATTGGCAATTTCCTCCAAATAGATGTGAAAGACATCAGCAGATCCTTGACCAATGTAAGTATTCTTTGTGCTCCTCCAATATGTTGATGAACAAGATACATTGAAAGCTGCTTTTAATGAAAACCTAGTGTCAGAGGCAATATTGATATAAATAACCATAAAGTCAAAGCCCTTTCAAAGTATTATATACTTTCTGACTTTTACAGCTGTCCTTGGTCAGGAATTCAGTAATGAGCTAAGGCTCAGGTGAAAGGACATTTATGTCATTGCATTTTATAAAAAAGGAAAAAAATCCCATTAAATTACAAAATTCATGACAATTTCCTATCTTAAAAAACAGCTTTTCCAATTAGTTTTGTTTGAAGGTCAACAGCAAGGAATAGATTATTCAATACATCAGGTAGAATTTTAGATATCCGTTTTTACTGATGTTATCTATTTGATGCTGAACTCTAAAAGATGTCACTGATGCCTAATTTAACTAAGTACCAATGAACATGGAATAACACAAGAAATTCAATACAGAAGCCAAGATTTTGGCATATTTGTTGATATTTATATTCAGTTTAATATTTGTAAAGCCTAAGTCTGGGGTTAAAAATTCTGCAAGAGAAGGAACTTTTTCTGGGAAATATTGCATGCCTAGGTGCAGCATGTGTGGTACCCACTCTTTACATTTGTAGTAGCCAACTGCCAAACCTGGACTGCTGAACAGAACTCTTTGTGTTGACTTACAATTTTACATCTCATATCTAAGTGGGCCTGGCTTTGTTGCTTTATTTCTGTATCATTTCTTCTATTTCATTTGTCTACTTGTCTATTTTTGTTAGTACCAGACTGTTTATATCACTATAGCTCCATAATATAATTTGAGGTCATATATTGTTATACATTGATCAGCATTTTTAGTTCTTAGGAGTCCCTTGACTATTCTTGGTTCTTTGTTGTCCCATATGAAGTCCTCTGTTGTTTTTCTAAAACTGTAAATATATCATCAGAAGTCTGATGCATAGTATTCAATCTATAAATACAGAAGTATGGGTTTAGTAGTATGGGCGTATTGTCCTTGGTTTCTGCTTATTTTCTGGTCTTCTGACTGGAGTGTTAGAGTGTGTCCACACCTGTGGGCTGGATTTTTGCACATCAGAGTGGAGTGGCCTTTGTTCAAACAGGGCATTTCTGTCCAATTTGGGGGATGGGGACATGGTGGGCAGGATGGGAGGGGTTATTGTGGGTAGTGTAGGTAGGTACTGAGAATAGAGGCAATCAGCTGGCAGGTAGGTTGTCTACATGGGGTTTTGGTGGCCAATTTCGTGCTGAATGATTTGATGTGAAAATTCATTGTAATCTTTGTGCAACAAATATCTGAACCCTCAGCAGTTACATGGTTCCCTTTGGTGATCAATAACTGCTATATGATACAAATAGGCTCCACAACCATTGGGGGCTGAGTTTTGCCTGAATAAAAATATTAAAATACCACGAGTGATAATGTTAGTGTGAATGAGGTTGACTCCATGGAGATCAAAGTGACTTTTTTCACTAATGTTTATATTTTTCTTTCCTATATCCAGTTATCAAAAGTCTATGGCCCCGTGTTCACCCTGTACTTGGGCATGAAGCCCACTGTGGTGTTGCATGGGTATGAAGCAGTGAAGGAAGCTCTGA